TGTTGGGAGCAAATAAACCACAAGCTCTCCGAATTTCCAAAATAACCAAGCTGGGGGAGGGGGGATAAAAACCCTCCCTCCGAAGTAGGCAGCGCCCGTCAGGAATTGTGGGCTTCCTCGCAATGCTTCCTGGTGTCCCAGGGAAGGGTTTGCCAGGATCTCAAAACCGGATGAGCGATCCTAAGACAAAACACCTTTCTCTTTGGAGAAGCACACAGAGTCACCCCGCAATTATCTCTGCCCAAAAAAAAGGAAAGGAAAGGCGTAGAGAGGCATCTGCACAGGATATCCCATAATGATACCACTGCCCAAAAATGCCAAACAGGTATATGTCACCTTACACTCCCTTTCCCCCCTCCCCCCCATTTCTTCCTTTTCCGTAGAAAAGAGCATTTCGAATGGCCGTTCCTCCTTATTGGTTTTGCAAGGGGTTGATGATGGGGAATTGAAAGCATTATAGGAGAAAAGTCACCTGTTTGAATTCTTACAGGTGACCCTTCCTTCCTATTCTTCCTTCCTTCCTTCTTTCTCTACTCCTTCCTTTCTTTCTATTCTTTCTTCCTTCTCTCACCCTCTCTTCTTCCTCCTTTCTTTCTCTCCCTTCTCCTTCTTTCCCTGTCCTTTACTTTCCTATTCTTTCTTCTTTCTCCCACTCCCTCTATCTCTCTTCCTCCCTTTTTCCTTCCTCCCTTCTCCCTTTCTCTTCCTTCCTCCTTTTTTTCCTTGCTTCTCCTTTCTCTCCCTTTCCTTCCTTCCTTCCTTCGATCACTTTTTCTCTCAACCTCCCTTCCTCTCTTCCTTCTCCTTTCTCTCCTTCCTACTTTCCTTCTGTCTTCCCTTTCCTTCCCTTCCTATCCTTTCTTCTCACACTTACACCCACTCCCTCTCTTCCTCCCTTCTTCCTTTTCCTTCCTTCCTTCCTAAACCAGACACTGAAGGCATGGAAAGTGAAACTCACAAAGCAAATTCCAATTCGGTGTAGTTTTAAGTTTATTTCGGAAGGGCAGGCTTTAAAAATTCTGCTTCTGATTTTGATAAGGCAGCCTGTACCACTAAATACATATATCCGGTTTTTTAAAACTATACAACGGGTTGGAATGCAAAACAAACAGATTAACATGTCCAATTGTTTTAATTAGCAATTCCAAGTTTCCTTACTGAATTAAATCCATCCAGCCCCAGGCACTTCCTAACAAAACACGGTGATGCAACTGGACCTCGCAGGAAATCACAAAAGAAAGTGCAAACTCTCGCAACTTGTACGACAACCAGCAGCAGAGTTGGCGCATCACTCCTAACCGTAAGACATATAGTTTATAGACCACCACACCTGGGGTCTCGCTAAGGAGGGAACCAGATACCGAGGGCTCAGCAGGATGTGTGAGCTAGGCCAAAATAACTTTCTTTCCAGAAAAAGAAATTCCATACATAACACGAATGGTTATCCAATGCCAGCTTTTAAGAAAAATCAACAGCTCAGCTATGTAGACTTGCAACAATAGGAGAAGAGAATGTTCCAGGAATTAACTCCCTTGAAAAGGCTGCAAGGAAACAGAGACCTTAGATCAAGGGTCTGCAACCTTGGCAGCTTTAAGCTTGTCGGACTTCAACTCCCAGAATTCCAGCTTTGCTGGCTGGGGACTTCTGGGAGGTGAAGTCCGCCAGGCTTAAAGGTATTAAGGTTGGGTATTTTCTTCTTAGATTAATGTCTAGAACAGTATTTGTCAACCTTGGCAATTTGAAGAGAGGTGTGCGGGCTGGGGTATTCTGGGAGTTGAAGTCCACCTGTCTTTAAAAGTTGCCAGGGTTGAGAAATACGGTCTTTTGAGTATTTTTCCTGAGAAAATACCATTCCACAATCCCATCCTCTCTCATAATGGTCCCCTACGGGATGTAATTTAGCTTCTGTGACCCGTTGGGGCGGATATCCTGAAGCTAAGGATTCGAATCTGGAACCCTTTCAGACACACTGCATTTCAACACCCGAGAAAGCATTCCGGAATTCTCTGCTAGGATGTGATGGGAAATGTGGGAGGGTCCTGCAGAAAATAGGGCATCATTTAATCATAGAAAAAAAAACATTGGAAAGGATCTTTAGAGATCATCTGGTTCAGCCCGTTAGTTTAGGATACAGGGAGGGAGGAAAGGAAGGAATGGGAAGGTAGAGAAAGAAAGGGGGGAAGGAAGAAGGGAGAAAGGAAGGGGGAAGGAAGGAAGGAGAAGGGAGAGAAAGGAAGGGGAAAGGAAGGAAGGAAAGAGAAGGGAGAGAAAGAAAGGGGGAAGGAAGGAAGAAGGGAGAGAAAGAAAGGGGGAAGGAAGGAAGAAGGGAAAGAAAGGGGGAAGGAAGAAAGGAGGAGAGAAAGAAAGGGGAAAGGAAGGAAGAAAGGAGGAGAGAAAAAGGGGAAGGAAGGAAGAAAGGAGGAGAGAAAGAAAGGGGGAAGGAAGGATGAAAGGAGAAGAGAAAGAAAGGGGGAAGGAAGGAAGGAAGGCCACCTGCAGGAATTCAAACAGGTGTCTTTAGACTATTCAGAAGCAGTCCCTTTTCCCCCCCTTAATACCAAGCAAGTCCCAAGTCCGGCTTGAGGATTTCTTACTACATGTGATGTAAGATAATTCTTCCTGAACTGAAGAAGCTTCCTGGATGAGAAGCGAAACGTCTTCAAGGAAAAACAAAGTCCAGCTGCCTTTTGAAAAAAGCACCTTTGGCATGCCAAGGAAGAGCACCCCAGCTCACCAAAGCTTCTACCTTTTAATAAAACACCTTCCTCTGAAAAAGGGATGGTAACCAGATTCCTCCCCTCGATTCCCACCCCCTTCCAAGGAGCCCTGGTTTAGACACCTAACAGTGGCTAGCTACTAAACCTGGATTAACGGAAGACAATTGCTGCTCCCCTGCAACCTGGATTTCCCACAATGCCCTTTACCCCATCGGCGCAACAAGCCCACCTAAGCAGGAGTTAGCAAGCGGTGTGAACCGAGAGCCTCGAGGGCCGCGTTGACCCACAAGATCTGAATTCGAAAGCCGGAGCGAGCAACAGCCGGTGGGCTTAGTAAGGGCATCTTCTCCCCTTCGACAGATGCAAGAGGGAGCAGCTTAGCAACTACTTAGTCCAGGGGCTGAGAAACACAAGGGGGGGGCAAAGACCCCACAAGGCAGAAGGGTGCCAACTTCATCACTGCCGGAGACACCATCCTAGGCCACACCGCATTACGAGGGGTGCCTGCCTCTTGTGTACGTGCGTGGAATAAATGCCACTTGGGGAAGAATGAAAAGCTGGGCAAGATAGAAGGAACCCCTAACTGTTGAAGCTGGGGTGGGGGGAGAGAGGAGAGAAACATATAGGGTGGACTCTTTATGGTGTGTGGGTGTGGGGGGGATGTTTTAGAAATGAATGGATTTTGGGTGTACCATTGGGAGATTGTGGCTTGTAGGTGCCAGGAATCTGGTCTGAAATGAATGGATTTTAGGTGCCTCACTGGGAGATCATGGCTTGTAGGTGCCAGGAATCCAGTCTGAAATGAATGGATTTTAGGGGCTCAACTGGGAGATCATGGCTTGTTAAGTGCCAGGGTTCTGGTCTGAAATGGATTTTAGGTGCCCCACTGGGAGATTGTGGCTTGTTAAGTGCCAGGGATCCGGTCTGAAATGAATGGATTTTAGGGGCCCCACTGGGAGATCATGGCTTGTTAAATGCCAAGGATCTGGTCTGAAATGGATGTTAGATGCCTCATAGATCGTGGTTTGTAAGTGCCAGGGATCCAGCCTGAAATGAATGGATTTCAGGCACCCCACTGGGAGATCATGGCTTGTTAAATGCCAGGGATCCGGTCCGAAATGGATTTCAGGCGCCCCACTGGTAGATCGTGGCTTGTAGGTGCCAGGAATCCAGTCTGAAATGAATGGATTTTAGGTGTCCCGCTGAGAGATCGTGGCTTGTTAAAGTGCCAGGGATCCAGCCTGAAACGAACGGATTTCAGGCACCCCACTGGGAGATCATGGCTTGTTAAATGCCAAGGATCCGGTCTGAAATGAATGCTAGGTGCCTCGCTAGATCGTGGTTTGTAAGTGCCAGAGATCCAGTCTGAACTGAACGGATTTCAGGCACCCCACTGGGAGATGGTGGCTTGTTTAGATGCCAGGGCTCCAACCTCAGAGTCCCTTAACCACCATTATTTCTAAACCACCCAACTCCTTATTCAACACTGATCCGAATAGAAAACCAGAAGACGGGGGAGGGGGCGGGGGGGGGGAGAGAAAACGGCGGATCCCCTTATCCATCCATCCATCCATCCTTCCTCCCTCCCGATCCTGGGCATTGCTGAAGCAAGATCTCCCCCCCCTCCTCTTCCTCCTCCCCTTCCTCTTTTTTTTTTTTGCCTTTTTTTTTTTGCATAAGGCAGCCAAGCGGAGCAGGGAAGCAACTCCGCCGGCTCCTTCGGGGGGGAGGTGGGGCGGAGTGGTGGGGTAGGGGCAAAGGATCGCAAGAAGAAGAAGGAGGAGATCCCCACAGCCAGCTCTCCGCTCAACGAGAGAAGGGAGGGGCGGGAGAGGCGCGATCCCCTCCCCTCCCCTCCCCCTCAGTTTCGCCCGAAACTCCCCCTTTTCTCCTCCCTGCGGGGGTCCGGGAGCTCGCTGCGGAGCGCCCCGTCCAGGTGAGAGCCGCGAAAGGGCGTCGCCTCCTTGGCCGCCGTTGCCTCGCTCCCTTTCCCTTCCCTTCCCTTCCCTTCCCTTCCCCGCCCCGAAGCCCGGCCGGCCAAGGGAAACAGGTTCTTGGGCCCTCGGCCATCTTGGCGGGGCAACGGAGGGCCGGAGAAGGCAACAACTTCGGCCGCCCATTGCGGAGGGGCAAGAAGGGCGAAGGCGCGCGGGGGGGAAAGAGAGAGAGCGCGCGAGAGAGAGACCACCGTCCGTCTCTCTGTCCGTCTGTGGGGCGGCTGAAGGAAGAAGACCCCCCTAAACCGGCCCCCCACCCTCCAACCCAGCCCGCCCCCTGACTCACCGGAGAGGCAGCCCCAGAGGAGGCTCGCCCAAGCGCACGGCCGCCGCGCCGAGCCCATGGGGCGGAGGAGGACGAGGAGGAGGAGGAGAGCGAGCAGTTGGGTCCTCCGCTGGCCGGTTGTGTGGGGAGGGGGGGCTCCGTCCGTCCGTCCGTCCGACCGACCGACTGACTGACTGACTGACGGACTGACCCACCGACGGACGCTGGGCTTGAGCCGCGACTTCGTCTCGGAGCCTCCGCTGCTGCTGCTTCCCCAGCTGGGCTGCTGCCTTCCACCTCCGCCGCCGCCTCCTTCTCCTTCTTCTTCTGCCGCGCTCCCCTCCGCCAGCAACTCCGGCCGCCCAGGGCGCCTCAGGCACCCCTCCGCCAAAGGGGGCGGGGCGGAGCAGCGGGCACGCCCACCCCCAGGTGCCACCTCCCACCCACCCCCTCTGGGGTATATATACCCTCCCCTCTTCCGCCCGGCGGCGCCAGTCCACCTGGGCAGCCCGAGAGGTGAGGTGGTCGGCCGGTGTGGAAAGGCGCCTCGATCCGCGGTGCTTTGGACTTGCCTTTCTCCAGGGGGGTGGGTGGGGGTGGCAAGAACAATAGGACCTCGACTTATATACCTCCTTCTTTCTTTCTTTCTTTCTTTCTTTCTTTCTTTCTTTCTTTCTTTCTTTCTTTCTTTCTTTCTCTCTCTCTCTCTCTCTCTCTCTCTCTCTCTCTTTCTTTCTTTCTTTCTTTCTCTCTTTCTTTCTTTCTTTCTTTTATTTATATTTATTTATTTATTTATTTATTTATTGAATTTCTATACCGCCCTTCTCCCGAAGGACTCAGGGCGGTGAACAGATTAAGATTTCATATACATTTGATTTTTTTTTTTTTAATAAAGCTTTAGAGGGCTTTACGGCGGGTTTTTTTTTTTATTATTATTATTTTTTTTAATTTGATTTATATGCCGCCCTTCTCCGGAGACTCAGGGCGGCTTACAGTGCGCTAAGCAATAGCCTTCATCCTTTTGTATATTTTATACAAAGTCAGCTTATTGCCCCCACAAACTGGGTCCTCAATTTACCCACCTTAGAAAGGATGGAAGGCTGAGTCGACCTTGAGCCTGGTGAGATTCGAACTGCCAAACTGCTGGCAGCCGGCAGTCAGGAGAAATAGCCTGTAGTACTGCATTCTAACCACTGTGCCACCTCGGTAGGTGGGTTAGCCTGGGGGGCAGGGCCGTTGCAGGGAAACGGAGGCTGCTGCCCCCCCTCCTCCGTGGTCACACCCTCCTTTCCTCCCCAGGTGTGCACACAGGTAAAACCACCTGCCCACAGGTGTTAATGTCCCTCTGCCCTCCCCCTCCCCACATTTGTCTAACTAGCCATCATTTGGGGGTCTCCTGGCCCCAGCTGCGTTTCTATAGAGGTTGGGGCAGAGATGGTTTCTTCCCTCCTCCCTCACCTCTTCGGTTGTATTAAACCATAGTTTGTGGAATAAAGGGGCCATTGGCTGAGTTTGCATGCTAAGCCACGATCAATCGTGGTTTATGGGCCAACGGAATGTGTTTGCACCAGTGAAAGGACATTATACAGATCAGCCTCGATTTACGACCCCTCATTTAGTGACCTTTGAAGCACAGCTGGCTGGGGAATTCTGGGAGTTGAAGTCCAGGACATCTTCAAGAGGCTAAATCTGAGGCACACGGTGCAAAACTTACCTGCCGTTCACCAAGGAACGTTTCCCAAGATTTACAGGCTCGGCAGCGTCTCCTGACAACGTTCTTACGGGATAAACCAAGTTGCCCTAGTTCTATACTACGGAGAGTAGCATTTTCTAACCTCCTCATGTCGCTGTTTCCATTTCCCCGCAAGTAGAAAACTAGCAGAGCAAGGAAACTGGATGAAGGATCAGTGTTTTCCCTGGTAAGCTAGATTTCGACACTGGGACTTATTTTCAACCCAGGGCAGTTTTCAGAAATGCTGGGGGGGGGGGGGGGGGCGGGGAGAGGGATCTGCAGGTCATTTTCTCAGAGTATTAATTTTTATTTCCGGAATCTGAATAAAATCATTTTTTCCACCTCTTTTTTTTGGTCACTCTGGAGAGATCTTGCTGGTTTTACAAGCATCCAGCGCCCCCTAGTGGTCTCTGCCTTCTCATGCATGCATAGATGCACAAGCTTGGAAAATAATTACATCCTCAATTATTTTTAGAATATTTTTAGAATCGCTTTCCTCCACCTGTTGCTCTTCAGAGGAGGGAGTTTCCCTGCAAACAGCAAAGGGAGGGGGGGGGAGAAATAATGTGCTTTGTGTGTGTGTGTGTTTGTATTTGTGTGTGTACTGTTGAGGTCATCCTCCAGGTGTTTTGCGAATCATATTTTTTATTTATATTTCATACTTCTAAACCGCCCATCTGCCTGAGCGATACAGGCTGTGGGTGGTGTACAATACAATCAATAAACATTCAAATTAAAATCAGAATAATTTAGGGGTGTTTTTTTTCTTGCAACTTCCACAATGATGTCATTGTGGTTTCTCCCTCTCTCTCCTCCCTTCCCTCCCTCCCTCTCTCTTTCTGTCTCTCCCCCCTCCCCAGCTTGTCTATTCCCCTGTTCCTCCTGATCACTCAGCCTCCCTCCCTCCCTTTTTCTCTTCCCCTCCCTCCCCCCTCTCTCCCCCCCTCTCTCCCCCCCATCTTGTCATTTCCCCCTGCTCCTCCTGATCACTCAGCCCCATGGGAATGGGAATCTCTCAAAACAGGAGGCATCCACATGACTCCTGTAGAATGAAGCTGGCTGGCATGTTTTGCGGGCAAGAGTCTCTCTATTCATGTGCAATTCGAAACCTCACATTCCTTTCACTTCCTCAAAACCGGCTGTTTTTCTCCCCCAGTTTGGTTTCTTGAGGCTTAAGTCACCAGTTCCTTCCATTTGCCTGGCCTCCCCTCTCTAAAACCCTCTCCCTTAAAATTACAGGGGAAACCAGGGCTATCAGCTGAAGAAAGATTTTTTAACTTTGACTTATTATTTCTATCCTGCCTTGATTTTTGTTAATAACTCCCAAACAGTGAACATGCCTAATACTCCTTCCTGTTTTCCCCATAACAACAACCCTGTGAGGTGGGTTGGGCTGAGAGAGGACTGGCTCAAAGTCACCCAATCGGTTTTCATGCACAAGGCGGGACTAGAACTCACTGACTGCTGATGATTGGCCCAAAGTCACCCAGTCAACTTTCATGCCTAAGGGAGGGCTAGAACTCACCGTCTCCTAGTGATTGGCTCACAGTCACCTAGCTGGCATTCATGCATAGGGTGGGACTACAACTCCCAAAGAGCCTCGGTGGTGCAGCGGACTAAAATGCTGTTAAGTGCTAGCACTTAGCTGCCAGCTGCCTGCAATTAGTGCAAGTTCGAATCTCACCAGGCTCAAGGTTGACTCAGCCTTCCATCCTTTTGAGGTAGGTAAATTGAGGACCTGGATTGTGGGGGCAATAAGCTGACTATAAAAAAAGAACACCGCTTAGGGGGGGCCAAAAGCCCTAATAAGCAGGTATATACAAAAAAATATGTAGGCTATTGCTATAATGCATTGTAAGCCACCCTGAGTCTACGGAGAAGGGTGGCATATAAATTGGACTAATAATAAACTCACGCTCACCAGGTCCTTCGCCACTAGACCAAACTGGCTCTAATTTAATTCTATAGGTAAAGTATCCAAACAGACACAAGTAGAAATTGGGAAATATTAAAGGAATAAAGCAGAAATGAGTAAACAGGAGTTAAAAAAAAAAAAAGTCAAGAAGCTTTTCTGATACATGATAAGTAAACAATTACGAATGATTAATTGCAACAGGTTGCTTTAAGCGTCTCAAATCCTCATTTAAGCTCCAAGCAAGGAAAAAAATCTCTACAAATGTGATCAAGGAAGTATAATCATCACATAAAATGATGGCCTAGGACCGTGATGGCGAACCTATGGCACAGGTGGCACCCGTAGCCATATTGGCGTGCATGCGAGCTCAGCTCCGGTGCGCATGTGCACGATGGCCAGCTGATATATGGGCCTTCTGGGCCCACCGGAAGTAGGGAAACAAGCTGTTTCCTGCCTCAGGAGGGATTCGGGGTGGGGGTGGGGAAGGCCCATTTTTCTCTCTCCCCAGGCTCCTAGAAAGGCTCTGGAGCCTGCGGAGAGAGAGAAACGGGCCCACCGGGCCATCACGTTCCAGGAGCAGGGGGGCATGTGGGGGTCGCCCTCCCCATCTTGTCAATTCCCCTGTTCCCCCTGATCACCCAGCCTCTCTCTCTCCCTGCTACCAACCTGCCTTCCATTGAGGACCTTTATCCTGCAAGAGTCAAAAAGAGGGCTGTGAAAATATCTACAGACCCCTCGCATCCTGGACATAAATTGTCTCAACTCCTACCCTCAAAATGATGCTATAGAGCACTGCACACCAGAACAACTAGACACAAGGACAGTTTTCCCTGAATGCCATCACTCTGCTAAAGAGATAATTCCCTCAACACTGGAATAGAATAGAATAGAATAGAATAGAATAGAATAGAATAGAATAGAGCAGAGCAGAGCAGAACAGAACAGAACAGAACAGAACAGAATTCTTTATTGGCCAAGTGTGATTGGACACACAACGAATTTGTCTTCGGCGCATACGCTCTCGGTGTACATAAATAAAAAATAAAATATATTCATCAAGAATCATAAGATTTAAAACTTAGTGATAGTCACAGGTTACTAAATAAGCAATCAAATCATACTAGGAAACAATAAAAACTATAAATCGTAGAGATACAAGCAACAAGGTTATAGTCATATGCGGGAGGAGATAGGTAATAGGAAGGATGAGAAGAATAATAGTAATACAGTCTTAGTAAATAGTTTGATGGTGTTGAGGGAATTATTTGTTTAGCAGAGTGGTTGTTCTGGTGTACAGTGCTCTATAGCGTCATTTTGAGGGTAGGAGTTGAAACAGTTTATGCCCAGGATGCGAGGGGTCGAGATATTTTCCCAGCTCTCTTTTTGACTCCTGCAGTATACAGGTCCTCCATGGAAGGCAGGTTGGTAGCCATGGTTTTTTCTGCAGTTCTAATGATCCTCTGAAGTCTCTGTCTGTCTTGTTTGATTGGTAGTTTAGTGGCAGTTTAGTTGTCTTAGTGGTAGTGATAAGTCAATCGTAGGAGCTATATTTATATTAGTGTGCAGATAGTCCTCGACTTATGACCCCAATTGGGTGAAGGGTATCTGCTATAGATCAGCCCAGCTGGCTCCAAACGCCCCTCCTTGGGGCCATAGAAAGAGCATTGCAATGTTCTGATGCTTGCCTCCAGGGCTGTGTGCAATTGCTGGCTCAACGTTTATGGCTTTCTATCGGCTGGG